CATTCCTGTAAGAGAGTAGGAAGAGAATTTTAATTTATAATGCAGTATTAGAAATCCTTTAAGCCATGATAATAGTGTAATGGATGTTCTGTGAGAAGTTGGATAAGGATGGGGCATGACAAAGAGTCTGTAGAATGACAGGAAGAGAGGCTAGGAATGGAGCTACGCAAAATTTTGTTGCTCAGAAAATAAATAAATAAGTGACTTTTTAAAAAGAAAATGTGCAGCTATTTTAATTAAGGAACCATCAAGATATACATTGCATCATATGTTCTCATAAGTCATCATGTAGTTTGTTGAAAACTGCCTTTTTGGTGCACTCAGACTCTTCATGAGAATGGATTGGAAATGAAACCAATGTGAAGAATTCTTTGCTCTTGCTAAAATTCTGCCTTAACTATAACAAATTACTCTGTCATGCTATCTCATGACAGAGCTCCTAATAAACATATATAACAGTAATCCTAATAAACATATATAACAGTAATCACTGATGTTTGTGCTCCTAATAAACATATATAACAGTAATCACTTCCTTGGACAGTTGTTAAGTTTTAGCGCATGAATCGAAATCAGATTGATTATATTCTCTGCCTAAGTTTTAGCGCATGAATCTTTACTGCTACACTTTTGCTGAATCAGTGCTTCCTCACAAACATACACATCTGCATCCCCATTGCTACATTTCCCCATCACTTTCCTTCCACCCTTTTAGGGTATCCACAGGCATGGCACAACCAACAAGTGTCTTCCTCTCTTTCAGCTGCTTCCTCAGTAGCAGAGAAACAGAGGAATATAATTTAGCTGCCATGTTACTGAACTTGGAAATTGGAACAGCCCATATTGGCTCAGCCATATCCAGCCATGGAGATCCACTTTTGGGTTACATGGACTCTCAATGATTTACTCCCTGATTCCCCTTTCCTAGGTTTATGGCTATAAGAGGCAAGCAATTGCTGGTGTCACAGCACACTGGCTATCACAGGATGTGGGGCTGTTGTTTAGCAATTTCACAGTTCATGGAAGATAAGAGAAAACCTATGGGTACACACTCCTAGATATTATACCTCAAATGTATTTGTTTGAGCAACATTAAAGATCAGGAACAAGCTCTTCCGAAAGCCATTCTGAACTCTTTATCAGTTACACCTGCACTAATATGAATTTGTGGGAGCAGAGATGTATGGAATAAATAATATTCCCATCAGGAGATAAATGCTGTGTCTGGATTATTTACAAACAAATGCCTGATGAATAGCTTTTTATTAAATTAAAGTGAGCCCACCATCCCCCCCCCCCATCTTCAGACAAATACCTGATGAACAGATCTAGCTTTTTATTAAATTAAAGTGAGCCCACCATCCCCCCCCCCCATCTTCAACTGTTGACACATTATGGAGCAAATAATCAATAAATAAGCCATAGACTATGTGTTTCAATTGAGAAACTTTTGTTGAATTTTGTATTTTAAAGTCAATTTTTAATGCTTTACTTATTTAAAATTATCTTGTATCCATGCAATCTACAAATATAAATGGGATAGAGACTTATCCAAATATGATCACTCAGTACAGACAAGGCAGTTAAAATGGTTCTTCAGAACTATTCCACGATTACTAACACGTCTCTTTATAAATTACTCTGTCATGCTATCTCACTTCACTTAAATTGACTAAATTTTCTCTTTGAAGAGGCAAATATCCCAAACTGAATTATCATCAGGCCTTTGAAGAACACAATAGAGTTTAAAAAATAAATAACCCACCACTCTATATGATTGATAATAAAGAATCTTGTGTGGTATAATTTGCCAAGAAGTCTAAAACCAGTATTATTGATGCATGATGATGGTAGAGAGTGTTGATATATAAATTATTGTTTAATACTTACAATGATTAAAATATACTCGCGAAGGCTTTCACGGCCAGGATCTTATGGTTTTTGTGGGTTTTTCAGGCTCTTTGGCCATGTTCTGAAGGTTGTTCCTCCTAATGTTTCGCCAGTCTCTGTGGCCGGCATCTTTAGAGGACAGTACTCCTCTGTGCTGTCCTCTGAAGATGCCGGCCACAGAGACTGGCGAAACGTTAGGAGGAACAACCTTCAGAACAGGGCCAAAGAGCCTGAAAAACCCACAACAACCATTAAAATATATATTGCTCAGTGTCATGAGAAAACAAACAAACAAATCCTGCTCTCCTTCCTAAGGAAGTGACTGAAATTATTGAATTGATTTATTTTGAAAGACAGTTAAAACTACCAATAGAACTGACGGTTTAATAAAAGGTGGGTTTAGTTTATCAATTCATATTTATACATTTAAAATATTTTAGCCCAACTTTCTCCTTAAAACGGACCCAAAGCAGCTTTTATCATTAAAAGACAATATTTAAAAGCTAAAAACAGGGTGTGTGCAAATATTTTTTTAAAAAATCAAATACCACACTAAAAATGGTAAACAAAATCAACAACAGAAACAGATTTAAAGCATCAAGGCATAACATTCCCTTTGAAACCCCTCTCAGATAGCCAGTCGCTCAAGGGAAGGCCTGTCTGAAGATTAAGATATCCACCTGATCTCCTATGGGAGGGAGTTTCAGAATCTAACTGCAGTGACAGAGAAGGCCCTTTCCTGTGTCCCTACCACACCTACATGTGAAGGTGGTGGGACCAAGAGAAAACCTTCACCTAATTATGTTAATACCCGAGCAGACTCATAAAGGGAGATGTGGTCCTTGAGTTTGCTTGCACATAAATTGTTTAGAGCTTTATAGGTTAAAACCAGAATACTCGGAATGAACAAGATTTTTCCCCCCGGTTTCGTTAGTTAGCTTAATTGAAACTTAAGTTTGTCTACAGCTTTAGTAACTTGTGGTGGGCATTCCAGCTACATTTGTATAGATGGACAATAAAGTATACCTATAGGATGATTATCTCACTTTATCTGTGGTAACTTACCACAGTAATGCTTGCTTCTTACCCACATCAATCCTGTGGCAGCCTCCACCTCAACTTTTTACACTTTCCCCTGACTCCCCACCCTGGTTCTCCCATGCATCCTTTAACTTTTTCTTTTGCATCATTCCCAAAGTTGCCCAACAGCTTATTCCTTCCATTCTACTACCCTATTTTCATGAACAGTAAAATAATCGTATTAATTGGTCTCTGCTGGGCCATGTGCAGTACTATCAAATATTTTTCATTACTACAGAAATAACTTGCAATCGCGCACTAGCTCTGACAAAATTTGTGCCCTTCCCAGTTAGTGAAACTATTATAACTTAGCTCAAAGGCAACAGGAACATCCAAAAGGGGTTGTAGATGATGACATTTGTTGTTGTTTAGTTGTTTAGTCGTGTCCGGCTCTTTGTGACGCCATGGATCAGAGCACGTCAGGCCCTCCTGTCTTCCACTGCCTCCTGGAGTTGGGTCAAAGTCATGTTGGTCGCTTCAATGACACTGTCCAACCATCTCATCCTCTGTTGTCCCCTTCTCCTCTTGCCTTCACACTTTCCTAACATCATTCAAGGTCTTTTCAAGTCTACTCTTCTCATGTGATGACCAAAGTATTGGAACCTCAGCTTAATGATCAGTCCTTCCAGTAAGCACTCAGAGTTGATTTCCTTCAGAACGGATAGGTTTGTTCTCCTTGCAGTCCAGGGGACTCTCAAGAATCTCCTCCAGCACCACAATTCAAAAGCATCAATTCTTTGGTGGTTAATCTTCAAGGTCTTTTCAAGTCTACTCTTCTCATGTGATGACCAAAGTATTGGAACCTCAGCTTAATGATCAGTCCTTCCAGTAAGCACTCAGAGTTGATTTCCTTCAGAACGGATAGGTTTGTTCTCCTTGCAGTCCAGGGGACTCTCAAGAATCTCCTCCAGCACCACAATTCAAAAGCATCAATTCTTTGGTGGTTAATCTTCTTTATGGTCCAGCTCTCACTTCCATACATTGCTATTGGAAAAAATATAGCTTTGACTATAGTCCCTGCTAATTAGAAAGTTCTGGTATTTTGATCCTTTGGACTCTGGCTCCGCTACATCACTGAGAGTTAAGTGGCATTACTTTAGAAACTTCCATGGCACATGGAGCAAAACACAACTGTTTAGTATCATGAGTTTGAGTCTTTGTGTTGGGCTGGGAATTTTGCCAATTTATGATTCATGCTTGTTTACGTTAGGGATGTGACAAGTGCTCACAAATCTTCTTATTTCTGGTGATTTTTCAAGTCTCACTGTGCTGAAATTTCCCACTGAGACGTTGCCAAGAGTAGCAAGATTTCTCCAATTCCTGTAAAAATGAGACCTTGCGATTTATTCGCACCCTTCTGTTGAATGGGTGCTAAGGAAACAAAGGAAAACCAAACCACAAAAATACACCCAAGTTGAGTAGGAATTGAATCACTCCTCACCATCTTGGCATTTCGTCTGCCCTTTTCTGGTGAATGCTGGGTGGGAAAGTTGCCATTAACTTGGGGGTCAATAACACCTTTGAAGGAAAAATTGTGACTATGGTATAGCATGTCTGGAGCGGGGGAAGCCGAAGCCAAATACCTCAAGCACTTGCAAAATTGGCAATTGATGTTTCACACACAGAATGCATGTCTTTCTAGAAACAGCTTCCTTGCTTGAATATTCTTAGGATTTTGGCATGTATTTAACATTCACAGTGGTACTGGACTATAAATCATTTCCTTTCTGCAAAATGAAACTATTTTTTTTCCATTGAGTTCTATGAAACCAGCTGGTATAATTACCAATTCATTTTCATAATACTTATTACCAAAGCTTCTCAACAATTAATTAATCATGTTTCCTTTATGAGCACTTTGAGTAAATATTGGCTACAATTAAAGATTTTTAAGTGAACAGAACTGTTGGCACTCCTGTACGTAGGCTATTGTTTAAAGAGAGATAATAGCTTTTCGGCTTGTTCTTTTACATGCTTAGTTTAAACATGACTTGCGGTATTAACGTGTCTGCATTATCCCCAATTCTCAGCTTTGTGTGGAGGAGACGTTAGAGGTCCAAGTGGAACAATTTTATCTCCAGGTTATCCTGAATTGTATCCAAATTCACTGAATTGCACGTGGACTGTGGATGTTACCCATGGAAAAGGTAAAGAACTATATATTTTGCATAACCATCATGCATTTGTTTTCGTTTCATCTCCCCACCCCACCCCAGATTTTATTTTCCACAGCACTTTAGAATCCATTATGGACATCTTCCTAACTTGCTGTATTTTTATGCTGTTCCCTATATACCTGCAGCATTTCTAAAGATAGAAACAATGTGCTTGTTTTATTTTAGTCAAACAAGTGATTTATGGGATGAATTCTACACCATTCTTCAGAATACTGACAATACTGAAAGTACATTTCACATAGAAATGTCAAAATAGCTGTTGTTGCAGCATGGAATAAAATTGGCTAGGCCAGTGATTCCCAACCTTGACCCGCCCCCCAGATGTTCTTGGACTACAACTCCCAGAGATCCTGGCCAGCACAGCTAATGATCAAGGATTATAAGCATTTTAGTCCAAGAACATATGGGGACCCAAGATTGAGAACCACTGGACTAGGCTGATGGCACATCCTCTGCACTTACCTGCTTTATAAGCAGATACCAGTTTAAGGTAGATGTACAGTGGGGTCTCGACTTATGAACGGCTCGACATACAAACGTTTCGACTTACGAACCGGTCTCATAGGAATATATGGACTCAACTTACGAACTTAGATTCGAGTTACGAACTCTTTGTTTCCTTTTTTTTAAAGCTAAGTCATCTTAGGTTAAAAGGAAAAAAGAAAAAATATCCCCCTCTAGTGGCAGAAGGTGGAATAGCAGCTTCCCATTAGTTTCTATGGACGAAAAGAGCAGATACGGATTAAATGGTTTTCAATGCATTCCTATGGGAAATGCAGATTCAACTTAAGAACTTTTCGACCTGAGAACTGCCTTCCAATACGGATTAAGTTCGTAAGTCGAGACCCCACTGTACATGTTATGGATCATCCTTTGTTAAAATAATTACAGTAAAATGACCAGGATCCTATTGGTGATTGGATTAATTTTGTATAACTGGCTATGATTAATTGTGGAAGTGCCAAGGCATGTCCCAGATACATGCCTGGCCAAGTGATTGATTGTGGAACTGAGGTGTGTGTGTGTTCATTTTATATGCTTATCATGTATTATCTGACCTATATTGTCTGACCTATTTTTGGTCTCATCCACTTCAGACATAATATGAATCCATTCTTTTTCTTTTTTTATGAGAGGAAGTAAAAGTGAACCAGTGACCTAAATGCACACTAGGGATGGGATTTTCAGGGGGAAAAAAAGAAATTGCAGTCCCACAATTTGGTGGGAACCCCTCAGGGAGAAAGGCAGGAAATAGAAAAGCCCTCTTATCTCCAGATCATTCCCACCCTACTTCTTCATGAGCTCTCAGAAGTGTTGCGGGTAACTTGGAGAGTAAATAAAGGTGAAGAAAAGGATGCATTCCAGTGGAGGCAGCCTCTGTCAGAATTCAAGCCAAAGGAAATCCTTTTGACTCACAAAGATATCTGGTGTGATTTTCAGAGAGCACGAAATAATGGCATGGAAACACTGTGGAAGTAAAAGGGCTGATTTACCTCCTGCCATTTTGACAGCCCTCAGTCCTATAATTCAGCCTGAGGGTTCCTCACAAATTCTAGGACTGGATATTCTTTTCTTTGGTTGTCCCATTTCTAATGTGTGCCCATTCCTCTTTCATGTGTCTGAAGAGATCAGAGTCTTTGGTTTTTATTTTTGAACTAACTACAGTTCCCAACAGCTGGTGCAAAATGAAGAACTAGACTTGTTAGGAACATACCTTGTAGGTGCTTTGTTGGTGGTGCACATTATCCTGCCATCCCCACCCCTTGTAGGGCAGTGGGTAACCTCTCCTCTTTACCAATGCTGTCAACTCTACAGAGTCTGGCTTAAGCTCAGTGGGTTTTATTGGAACCAAGGAAAGAGGAAACAACAATTTCTGGAGATTCTGCCACTCCTGTTACTTGGCTCAGGAGTGAAGTGCCACTTGCCTCTATACAGTCTCTAGTCTTTCTGGGCTGTGAGTTAACTCCAATGGGATGTTACTGCCTCATGTCCTTTAATGGGGATCTTCAGGGGGAGGGACAAAGCTGGGTCCTAGAGGAGTGACTGTCTGTATGCCTGCAGTGAGGTCTAGGCTCAACACTCAGTGGAATTCAGTAGAGGAGTGATGGAGATGGCTGCTGATGTTCCTTTTGCCATTCTTGCCTCCAACATCATCTCTAGCTAAGCATCATAGCCTTCCAATTTGGGCTTTCCCCCCCCAGCTATTTCACATTTGGTTGTTTTTAAGATGTGAGGGACATGGTGGTGCTGCGGGTTAAACCGCAGAAGCCTCTGTGCTGTAAGATCTTCAGCTGTAAGATCGAATCCACGTGATGGAGTGAGTGCTGCCTCTTTTTTCAGCTTCCGCCAACCTAGTGGTTCGAAAGCATGCAAGTGCGAGTAGATAAATAGGTACCACCTTGGTGGGAAGGTAACAGTGTTCCGTGTCTAAGTCGCACTGGCCATATGACTACGGAAGATTGTCTTCGTAGAAATGCTGGCTCTATGGCTTGGAAACGGGGATGAGCACCGCCCCCTAGAGTTGAACACGACTGGACAAAAATTGTCAAGGGGAACTTTTACCTTTACCTAAGATGTGTGGAAAGTAGGTGGAACTTGTTTAACTTTACCCATTGGGGGAGTGTTGTGCTTGTATGTTCTATTCAAGGTGACTCAGATGCTATTCACTTTTCTTTACTGGAAAAGAAAGGTGCTGTACCAATCTGCTGATTGCTGGTTGTAACATTTGGAATCTAACACAATGAAAGTTGTGATTCTAGTTTTGGGTGGATTTTGCAAATAAAGTAAAATAAAAATTACTTCAGGGGCCTGATAACACATTTTCGGTTGTGAATCATACATTTATCATGTTTTCATGCTGCAGTTTAATGGAAACAAACCATCTGAAATAATCAGTAGAGCAATTATTTGCTGATAGTTAATCACAGGTGGGTTTCTTTGTGCCAGCTATAATTTAGCACTTTCTGGCATCTGTAGAATTCCACATATATAAATAATCCCTTGTTCTTTTCTATAACTAGAAATTGGTCATTCAGTACATAACAGGAATCCTATATCTACTTGCCTTGTTTGTTCACAGAATGGAGCAGGATGCATTTTTTAGTTGTAGATCCTAGTCTATTGTATAATTTCTCAAAGGAGACATGCTTAGCATTGAGTTACATGCCATTTGGTGACATGTAAAGATGTTTATGACTGATTTGTTTGCTCACTAAGTTGGGTGTCTGGCTCTGGAGCCAGAATTTAGGAGTTTGATTCTGCATTTCGCATTTTGGGAGGAGAGCCAGCCTGTGTAGCTTTGGGCAAGCTTCACATTCCCAGACCACCCTCAAAAGAAGGGAATAAACCCTTTCTGAGTTCTCCATCTCTAGAAAAATCTGGAAAGCATCATCGTAAGTTGAAATTGACTTGATTGTCTACAGTTACTGTTGTTAATTATAAATACATTTCTATTTCCCTTGGCCCTCAGTAGTATTTGTTTGATATGTTCCAATGATTCTGTGATTACATCCCACTTTTCCACTTTTTGAAATAATATTTTCCTGTGTTACAAACATTTCATCCCAATTACTCAGCTGCTAGGTGCTCCAGCATGCTTTACACCCAGGTTGTCACAAGAGAATTAGGGTGTATCTATGATATTTGTCTGCAGGCTTAGCTTATAATGGGAGTTTTTTTAGGGAGGAGGAGAGAGGACTCAGTTAATCTCCACAGCAGTTCATTTTCAGCACTCAGTTAATATGCACAAGAGCACAGAATGTACCAAGTTAAACTTGTCCCATCTCTTTGACCAATTGTGGCAGTCTCTCTTCAGAACCATGGAATTACAAGCTTGCGTAAGGGATCATTGAATAAAGGCAACTACAGAAGGACTTTTATCTATGCAGGGTTTTTTTGATAATAGTCATGAAGAGACTTAACTTGATTGAACTATGGAATAGCCTCCCAAAGGAGGTTTTACTGTCTTAACTTCACTTATTCTTAAAACCAATTTAGTCTGGTTGATATATTCTGGGTTGAAACCTTGACAGTTTTATAGTGATGTTTATTGCTACTGTCTATTTGTTACTACTGTATTGCTGCTATCTATTTGACATTGCCTTGAATCCTTTCACCAGGAGAAATGTGTTTGCTTGTTTGTTGCATAATTAGTGCAATGCACTATTCTGAGCAGTTTAGCACTATTCTGGGCAGTGGTATATGAATGGCAATCAATCAATCAATCAGCCTAGTTGCATAATTAGTGCAATACACTATTCTTAGCATTTTAGCACTATTCTGGGCAGTGCTATATGAATGGCAATCAATCAATCAGCCTATCATCCATCCATCCATCCATCCATCCCCCTCTCTCTCTCTCTGTCTCTCTCTGTCTCTCTCCGTCCGTCCGTCCGTCCGTCCGTCCGTCCGTCCGTCCGTCCGTCCGTCCGTCCGTCCGTCCGTCCGTCCGTCCGTCCGTCCGTCCGTCCGTCCGTCCGTCCGTCCGTCCGTCCGTCCGTCCGTCCGTCCGTCCGTCCGTCCGCGTCCGTCCGTCCGTCCGTCCGTCCGTCCGTCCGTCCGTCCGTCTGTCTGTCTGTCTGTCTGTCTGTCTGTCTGTCTGTCTGTCTGTCTGTCTGTCTATCTATCTATCTATCTATCTATCTATCTATCTATCTATCTATCTATCTATCTATCTATCTATCTATCTATCTATCTATCTATCAGATTTGTTTTACATTTGTTTCTAAGCTATCTTTATTACATGGAAGTAGAAACTTCTCAGTAGGTCAGGTGGGTCACAACTGTCTTCATAATCTCTTCTCTAAGGAGGTGCTGAAAGCACCAAAGGGAAAGACCTTTTGCTGTCCCAGATAAAGTACAGGATGGCAGTCTCTATTTCAGGTTACCAAGTGGTGGTTGACTCTTCAAACGGGTGATGGAACAGTATCCTTCACAGTACTTGACACAAGCAGTACAGGGTTTGCAGGACAGGGTTCCTCACACACATGTCCTTGTTCCCCAATGAAAATGAACAGTAAGGTGCCTGTCACCTTGTGTCCTTCACAGCATAGCAGATCTGCTGCCTGACATTCCTATCTCACTGTATCTAATGGTAGGCTTCTACTTCTAGAAGGATCCCCCATGCTTAAGAGTCACCATGTCCACCTCCATGATACGCTGGCAACTAGTACTGGTTTTAGTATGTTCAGGGTGGGTTATATGACTCTTCTTCCTTTTTATCTTCGTAGTAGCCAGGGCAGGAGAAAGACAGAAAAAAATGTCTGGGACACACTGATTCTAGCTCAATACTCTCTCTCCCCTCACACTGCTTTAAAATTATGGGCAGTCAATGAGGATGCTTGAAATCCATGACTGCTATGTCTGAAGAGAGAGCTATAGTTCTAATCATCATTACTCAGGAATTTTTTTTCTTTACTCCGTATAGATGTGTTTAGTTGAAAAATAAAACCTTCATTTCATTTCAGCACAAATGTATCTTCAACTGTCATGAAAAGCAATTTTAATTTTAGATATTGCCTTTTAATTTTTTAAAAATTATTTTTGTTAAAACGTGTTTCTACCTAGTTCTGTAAGTGGGTCGTAGGGATGGGCACAAAGAGAAACTAGGGTTCTGGCAGAACTAGGGTTCTGGCAAAACTAGGGTTCTGCAGCCAAACAGCTGAACCACTCCGAACCACTAAACCACAAGTCATGCCCATCTCTATTGGCTACCAATGGTTTTGGCGTAAGCAGTCTTCATCCTTCTACCTATCCCAAGATATAAATAATTTAACACTTGACAGCTGTGCAGCCAAACAGCTGAACCACCCCGAACCACTAAACCACAAGTCATGCCCTTTTCTATTGGCTGCCAATGATTTCAGCGTAAGCAGCCTTCATCCTTCTAGCTATCCCAAGATATAAATAATTTAACACTTAGAAAAAACTGTTGTTTTGTTTAAAGGGGGGGGAGGGTTGGATAAAGCTGAGGAGCATGAGGACTAGGGCAATGTAAGTCTTGTTTAATTTTCTGAGTCTGTGTTTGTAATGAAACTTATGAGTTTAATCAGTGATCTAATTGCTTTCCTGTTAGCTATGTGATATGTGAGTCTCATTTTATTTTCCTAATAGGAGTGCAGTTCACCTTTCACACCTTTCATTTGGAAGATCATCACGACTACTTACTAATCACAGAAAATCGCAGTTTCACTCAGCCTCTGGCACGGTTGACTGGGTCTGAGCTTCCCTCTCCAATCAACGCTGGTCTCTATGGAAATTTCAGGGCTCAGCTGCGCTTTATTTCTGACTTCTCCATATCGTACGAAGGATTTAATATTACTTTCTCTGGTAAGAGAAAAACATTTATTTGTGTAAAAGTGAAGAAAATCCATTGTTTTACTGGTCAGATAGATAGGAATCTGGAAGGAACATCCAAACGTGTGTGGTTTTTTCCCCCTGACATGTAATTTTAAAAAGGGTGTCTATAAGTGTTTTTGCTGTTGGTTATATCGCACAGATCTTGGTCAGTCTGTTGTTCTGGCTTGTGGAGCCAGAGGTTGGGAGTTTGATTCTGCACTGTGCCTCCTTAACAGGGGCTGGACTTGATGATCTATGGGGATCAACAAGTTCTAAGAGGGCTGTGGTGATGGTGGTGGTCATGATGTCATTCATAGTAGTGCTGAAGAAAGTAACACTAAACTGTAAAAGAGTGTTGTTTAATGGGGAAGTCACTCTGCGTCAGAGGGATTTCAACCTTAATTTCAAGAAGTGATATTCCAAATGAGCCCATGAAGAGATTTGGTCATGCTTTTATGTTACACAGTTATTTTGGTTAATTTTATGTGTTGTTCTCAGAGAGATGTATAGCTCTTATAGGAATGGGAAGTATGCATCTCAAAGACGCTGTGAACGTTTATGGATGTGCTTTTTAAATTGTAGCTGAATTAACTATTTAGTTATATGAGCATTTGTTCTGAAAATTTACCTCAAGTCTAAACCAATGTTCAGATCAAAGTGCATGCTTTATAATTATGTTCAGGGCAGCTGATGGCAAACATTAAAAGAGATTGTGAAGTAACAATTTCTTTTTTTTCCCACTCCAGAATATAATCTTGAACCCTGTGAGGATCCTGGAATTCCTCATTTTGGGAGCAGAGTAGGATTTAATTTTGGAGTTGGAGACACTCTAACATTCTCATGTTCACCTGGATACCGCTTGGAGGGGACTTCAGAGATTATTTGCCTCGGTGGTGGCCGACGAGTATGGAGTGCACCTCTGCCCAGGTGTGTGGGTACGTGGTCAGCTGCTTTCATTTGCTTGTACGTGTAGTCATTGTCCATGAAGTTTCAACTATTCGGCATGGATAAGCATGGTAACACATCTAGTACTTTAATACAGTATGCCCTTTGCATTTCCCCATATCTTGTCACCTTAGTTTGTCAGGTTTTCTGTTTTTCTGTGCATTCTGACATTCAGTCGTAGCATTGGAGCAAGGTTTTTTAAAATCTTTGTTATGATTGGCTTCTGCAAAGATAGAGCATAGAAGAATACTAATGAGAAATTACTGAACAAAAATCCAAAACAAAAGCTAATCTACCAATTCCACCTCTTCCAGAAAAAGTGCTATGTATCTTCTAGCTGAAATCTATTATTAAGTTTCACCTAGACTAGACCCATTGAATCAATGGAACTTAAATAGGTATTGATTCATCAAATCCTTACTGATTCAATGGACCTGCTCCATTTGGGACTTTCTACTGGTTTTCAACCATAGTTTATAGGAGGTTTCCTCTCTGTGTGTGCATGCACATGAATGCATGTGTGTTTATTGGTTAAGCTAAGCTTTCTAGCTTCAGCAGTTACTAGATCAATGCTAGCCAGAACAATTCATTCAACAAAGAATGTTTACATGTTTGCAGTGGAATCCCTGTGTCTCACAAAATACTCTAGCAGGTTTTATTAGGATTCATATCCAGACACTGGCCTGGTCCATAAGGCCTCCACTTTTTGTTGGCAAACTAAACGTGTGCATTGAAACTGGAGATTCTGAACATAATCAAGTCAACGGATGGGTTGACTTGCTCAAGGTGAGCTGTGCCCTTCCTTGATTCTGCCTGTAGCAGTTTGAGCAGAGGTGCTAGTATCACCTCCAAAGCTAAATCAGTTCTTGGAAGAACACAACTAGATGTTATGGGTCACTGAGGATGTGAAGAATGCTTTTTTAAAAAAGACTATTCTTCTTGGCAGTTTTCCAAGTCTTGCTGCACTGGGATTTCTCACGAATTCTTCCCCCTTTGCCTTCAATATTTTTTTTTACTTCTTACAAAAACATGATCCTGGTTTGATTCTCCCTGCTTCTCTCAACCTCCCATTTTTGTCTGATCATTTGTACAAAAGTTGCTACATTTTGTTCCACTAAATGTCCTTGACTAGGAAAGATACCATTTTGCATAGGAATTGTAATAATTCCATGCAGTATGGTCTTTCTTCTGAGGAAAAAAAAATGATAGTGAAACATCTGAGAAAGGAGGCAAGATTTCTTGAAAAGAGAAATCTCATGGAGAGAAATGCTTCTGTGAGGAGAAAATAATTCCCACCCCTTGGTTTCTTGTCAAGAGCCTTTGAGATTCATATCCTTCCTTTTCATAATTTTAGACAACTTCAACTTCAAAAAAAAAAGTCAGAGAGCCAGTTTTTCATCAGAAGAAAACAAATTGCTAACCTCTGAAAACTTTAATCCCTATCTTCTGGGTACTGAGCGAGACTTCTAGAAAATGACTATTGAACAGAACATTTCATTTTAGCTGGGTAGAATTTGGCGGTTGAGGAATGAAGGCCATAAGTTATACAATTTTAATTTATCATACATTTTTGTAGCAAGGCTAGATGGATATACTGTATTTGAGGTTTATTTGCTTTAGAATCTGCTTCAGCTAATGAATAGGGTATAAATAATACATAGATTGTATTTTCTGAATAGATTTCCTAGGATTAGGGAAGACCACCTAGCTATTGAAATGTCCTAGAATACTGTACTGGTATATGATTCATGATTCAAGTGCTTCACACAAGTTTTAAATAGATGTGCCATGAGGGGAGTCTGCTAGCTCTACTCTTCCTGTTATTGCTCTATTTGTGGAAAAATATGAAGATATGAGCTTCCATTTTTACGCTTGGAGATTCTTCATGGAAAAAGGAGGTTCTTCTTTTCAGAGCTGTTACTTTTCATGTGTATCCTTGGTTCAACAAGAATTTTGATGAGTTCCCTCATCATATTCTTGTGACCAAGCTGATAGAATGTAGGCTAGATGATATAACTTGGATGAGTACATGGATACAATGCTGATCTAATTTGATACCAAAATGGAAGGGGTTACTAATGTTGCAGAAGACAGAATCACATTTCACGATGACCTTGTGAGAATTGAAGACTGGGTCGAAAGGAAGGAAGGAAGGAATTTTAACAGAGGAATGTGCCATGATGACCTTGTGAGAATGGAAGACTGGGCCAAAAGGAAGGAAGGAAGGAAGGAAGGAAGGAAGGAAGGAATTTTAACAGAGGAATGTGTGAAGTTTTACATTTTGGCCCAAAGAATCACATGCACAAATATTAGATAGGTGACAATTGGCTTGGCAGTAATATACTTGAATACATGAATAGCTAAATATGAGGCCAAAGTGTGACATCACAGCAAAATAACAAATGCAATAATATGCTGTATTGACAGAAGTATAGTGTCTAGTCCTGGGAAGTAATAGAATCGCTGGGTGCTGCTCTGGCCAAGCCTCACGTGGAATACTGTGGTCACTTCTACGACCCTATAGATATGAACAAGCTGCAACATGTTCAGAAGAGAGGGAAGTAATAGAATCACTGGGTGCTGCTCTGGCCAAGCCTCACCTGGAATACTAGGTTCACTTCTAGGACCCTATAGGTATGAACAAGCTGCAACATGTTCAGAAGAGAGTGACTAGGATAGTAGAAGATCTGGAAATTAAGGCCTGTGGGGAATGGTTGAAGGACCTAGTTTAGTCAAAGACTGAGGCAATATGATAGCTATAGTTGAAGGGTTGTCACATGGAAGATTAAACAAGCTTGTCTTCTATAGCGACTTCGGTTAAGACCAAATGTAGTGGGTTCAGATTACAAAAAGCAATTTCTGTATAAACAGTAAGAGACCTTCTTGACAATAAGAGCTTTTTATCACTAGAATGGACTACTTTGGAAGACAGTAAACTCTCCCTCATCAGATGTTTTAAAACAGAGGTTAGAGGACCAGTTGACAGGAATACTTTGGCTATGGATTTCCTGCTTTGGCAGAGGATTCGATTTAATGACCCTTGGGATCCCTTCCAGATCTAAAATTTTATGATTCTTGAAAATAATTTATTACATTATTTCATAAAAGTGAGTCGTTCCTGTGTAAATATGCACAGTACTGGTGTTTTATGAGTAGTAGAATGTTTATTCTGGCCTAATAAAAACAGTACTGGTGTTTTATGATTAAAAGAGTGGTAGTAGAATGTTTATTCTGGCCTAATAATGTGGTATCACATTTGCCACAAGAGTAGTAGTAGAATGTTTATTCTGGCCTAATAATGTGGTATCACATTTGCCACAGGTTAAATAGCCTAAAAGTAATATTATGGACTAGCTGTCCAAGCAGATATTAGAGGTTTTAAATTAATCAGTTGTAAAGTCAATGAGTTAATAAAGTTGTGGCCCCAATTAAAGCTATAATCTGTTGCTCATCTCCTTATTTCCAAGAATGGGATGGCAAATAATAGCTTATATGATCTTTGACACCTCGACAATAGTTACAAAGAACACACAGGTGCCTATATCACATAATGTGGCTACAGGAGTAGAGATGAGTATGAACCTCAGTTCAGAGGTTTGTTCTGGTTCATACGGATGGCACCACAGATGCTGTGAGTTCCCTTCCTCCACCTCCATGGCCAATGAATCACTCCTCAGTCAGAGTGCTCTCCTCTCCTCCCCTTTGGCTGTTCAGCCAGTCCTAAGCAGAGGTATGGGTTTGCCCCTCCTACCTCCTTGTTTGATTGTGCGATCAGCCAAGGAGGCGAGGCAGTGAAACTCATCGTCCTGCCAGAGACTGGTTGAACAGGAGGCGAGGCAGGGAAGCTCATCGTCCTGCCAGAGACTGGTTGAACATCCAAAGAGGAGGAGGAGAGGAGTGCACGCCAGCAGATGACTGGGGGATTCAGCTGGGGAAGCAGGGAAATGGAACATTCGGCAGTTATGGTGCTGTGTGTATGAACTGGCACAAACCTCTGAACTAAGGTTTAATTCCATTTCCATACAGGAAGAACAGCAATCTGTTTAAACAATTAAAGTAAATCATCTGAAAACAGAAAATTAAAGCAAGCCTATGAAATAGCTATTTTATAGCTTATGTATTTTTCCGCAGATCATCCATAATGTATTACTTGTTCCCTAGCCTTATCGATGAATGTGTGCAAAATGACATTCTAGTACTCTCGTGACATTGTTCATTCCACATTTTTATTTCTTCTCAGCCTGATAAGATTACTAAAGATGATACAACATGATATTTTCATTTCTCCATTCCTCCTCTCCTTAATTGTGAATTATATAGCACATAATTCTTATTTACACTACTCTTGTAATATGATTTTCTTGAGTTTGCTAAAGCATTCCCAGTACATTTAACCTTGTTTCTTTTTGTTATTTTAGTTAATTGATTCTTTCATTCACGTTTCATTTTGTCGATCAGTATTGAATGGTAACTTTTTCTTTCCCATTGTTAACTTTGTAATCCACCGTTATGCTTCATATTGTTGAATCAACACTGAACTGACTTATTCCTTCTAAAATTCTGTAGATTATCTTCCATGATTGTTTGTTGGAATGTATTCTCTCGTTTCTAAAATGTGTAGAGGAACAATTAGAGAACTAACTAAAAGAAAAGCATTTAATTTAGAAAATAATTGTAGAAATTTATTTATTTATTTATTTATTTATTTATTTATTTATTTATTT